GAATCTTGGGAGGAAGTTCTTCCTCATGAGGGTGGTGGGATACTGTGAGGGGTTGAAGGGAGAAGCTGTGGCTGCCCCAATCCTGGCAGTGTTCAAGGCCAGGTTGGACACAGGGGCTTGGAGCAACCTGCTCTAGTGGAAGGTGTCCCTGCCCGGGGCAGGGGTTGGAGCTGGAGGAGCTTTAAGGTCCCTTCATCCCAAACCATTTGATGATCTTATGCAGCAGGATCAGGACCCTGCAAGCCCCACACCTTGCACAATGATAAGGCTGTTGAGCACAGGCTGGGCAAGCTGGGACAAGCGGTTTATCAAGGCCGGAGCCCGCCTCCAGCTTGGGCTCTTGATCACTCATCCCAACACCCTCCTCTGCTCCCCTGCTCTCTGCTGTGCCTCTTCACCCTTTGCCCTTCCCTCACACCGACAGCCCAGCTCCCTTGGAACACCGGGATCAAAGCCACAGTGTCTAGATCCTCACACACGTCTTCTGAGCTGGTCCTGCCCCCTCAGGTCCCAGTAGGTTTCCCTTCCCAGGTCAAGGGCCACAGAGCAGCCTAAATGAGGGGCTGTGGTGTCCTGCTCTGAGCGAGCAAGGATCCATGTCTCACCTCGTCTGCTGTCCGGCTGCAGGACAAATCCACTTACAGGTAATCCCTGTGGGAGCCTGGGCAGCAGCCCCAGGGCAGCACAACCACCCCCTGCCCTGCATCCTGCACCATCCCCACGAGAACCACACCAATAGCAGTCACGGATCTCATCTCATTTACACTCTGGCAGGTTCAAGCCATCCCCCTTGGCCTGTCCCTCCATCCCTTGTCCAAAGCCCCTCTCCAGGTTTCCTGGAGCCCCTTTAGGCCCTGGAGCTGCTCTAAGGTGTCCCCTTCAGGAGCCTTCTCTTCTCCAGCTGCCCCAGCCCAGCTCTCTCAGCCTGGCTCCAGAGCAGAGCTGCTCCAGCCCTCGCAGCAGCTCCGGGGCCTCCTCTGGCCTCGCTCCAGCAGCTCCACATCCCTCCTGTGTTTGGGACACATAAAGGTGCTGAGCGCTCGGCTGGGTCTGTGCTGGCTGTGGGAGGTTGGGGACGTGCTGAGGGGCTGCAGCACACAGCACGTGGTGCCCTTGCTCTGTCAGCACTTGTCTTGTGCAGCAGCTCTGAGCAGAGCCTGGGAATGGTCTGGATGGACAGAGGAACGGTCTGGAATGTTGGACACTGCTGGAAAGAGCTCTCGTGTCTGCAGCCAGGTCACTCTTGCTGTCTGCAGCATCATGTGGGATGTCCCACTGCTTGTGCATCCCACTGCCAGCTCCTCCCTGCTGCATGTGGGCCACTGCTCCCACCCTGCTCGCGGTTGCAGCCCCTGCTCATGGTTGTACTCTCCTCCTGCCCCCCACAAGGGTGCTGTCAGTTGCCTGTCCTTGGTCCCTGCCCTGGGGCTGTGTGGCTGTTAAACATGGGTG